ATTATAATCTTCTCAAGACTATTGGTGTGGCTATAACTTAGTTTTAGTGTGTTTCTGTTAAAAGTAACCTTCTTAGTAAAATATTTAGGAAAATGTTTATCAATCTAATGGAGCAACTTATGGCCTAACTTAGTACTAATTAATTGTTTAAATTGGACAATATTAAATGATTTTCCTTTTTCTGTTTTTTTTTGGACCACTATCATCATATTTTCTAAGACTGAAAATTTCAGCATATTTATATTTAACCACTATTATTTGAAACTTTATTATACACACTGCTATATTTATCAAACACTTTTTTTTTTTCTGATGAGTTCTTGCTAATTTTACATTCTAAAAGATGAACATTAATATGATTGATTACCAGTGGAGGGTAGTTATAATTGGGATGAATATAATAAAATGAAATTTATGCATTTTTTTCATATAAAATGAAATACATCATTAATTCTTTCTAAACATAAACCAGTAGATTTTTTTGATATTAACTCATATTTTAATTAAATTTAATATAAATTTAAATAAATAAATTTAATTAAATTTAATATAAATGGTAGATTTTAATTGGAATTTTAACCAATTTAGAATTTAATTGGAAATATTATTTTTTAGAACAAATAAACCCATTATTTTATTTTTTTTAAATTAAAAAAAAAAAAAAAAATTTATATTGAATAAATTTAAATTTAGAATAATAAAACAAACAATTTTTTAAAAATCAAAAATTAATTTTTTTTTATTTAAAAAAAATAATTAGAAATTAATTTACTGTTTCCAATTTTTAAATTTTAGTTTTTTAATTAAAAAATGTTTTTTCTCTGTTAGAATTTAACCATAAATTGTAAATTTTACCATATAATCTATAAATGTTACATCAAATTCATTTTAGAAAAACCAAAATTTGGTAGAATTTTTTCTTGTGGAAAATTAATTAAATTTATTTCATTTTTAAATGTATTTTTATTTGAAAATTTGGTGATTTTATTTTTCTTTTTAGAAAAAAATATTTAAAACTGCAAAAGGGTTTCAACTAGCATTAAAAAAATTATTTTTTATACAATTTATAATAATTTTCATTTAAAAAAAATTTCATTTTTTAAATTTGATAGCCTTATGTATTCGAAATCCAAATCAGAATTTGTCATTCCAAACTGATTAAAATCTTTATTTGTGATACCCATAATGCTATCCTTATTCCAACATAAATTGAATAAAATGCAAAATTTTCAATTTTAACACAACTAAAATTTTAAAATTTATACTATTCATATTAAAGATTTTTGAAAATCAACTAATATATATAATATATTATATATATATATATATATATATATATATATATAGTGTGAAAAATAAATTCAGAAGTGACAGTTTGTTTCAAAATAGACACATATCCATATTTTTGTTTTTTAAAATATAACTGTTTATCTATATAGGTCAGTGGTGCATTGTTGGTAGTCCATTCTAGCAGTTATTATGGCAGGAGTGGTTTGTTTATTTACTTATTTATTTGGGTTAATTTATTTTACTTGTTTTTATTTATTTTGACTTTTTATTTTAAATATTTATTTATTCTTTTCAGTTTTTGATGTTTTATTAACATAGTAAAAAAATTGGGGGGATTTGCTTAGGTCATTTATTTAATAGTTTGTTTTGGTCTAGGAAGATAAAGCCATTTAGTCGTCTAATTTTTGGATTGATTGCTGTAGTCTATTCTGTTACTTTGGTGGGGACAGTTTTTAATTTGTTTATTATTTTATTTATTTATTTGGATTGATTATTTTTTCTTGTTTTTGCTTATTCATATTTGTTTTAAATTGGAGTGGTTTGTTAATTTGTTCATTTATTTATTTAGATTAATTTATTTTACTTATTTTTTCTTATTTATTTACTTATTATTTTATTTTGTATATTTTTATTTACTCTTTTCAGTTTTCAATTTTTGAGTACCGTAGTAATTTTTTTATCGTTATATAGCAGTTAAAGCTATTTTTCGTTCAATTTTTGGATTAATTGTTGTAGTCTATTCTAACGGTTATATTGGTTTGTTAATTTATTTATTATTTACTTTATTTATTTATTTGGAATGATTATTTTTACTTATTTTTTTTATGTATTTATTTTTTGTTTTGTCTATTCTAACGGGCATGTTTTATTGTTTATTCTTTGCTTGGGTTGATTTATTTTGCATTATTATTTTGTTTATTTTTATTTATTCTTTTCAGTTTTTAAGTAACATAGTAAAAATTTGTTTTCATGTCTGCATTTTGAGATGAGCTCAGATCATTTATTTAGTAATTTATTTTGGTCTCAAAAGGTAATAATAAATATTTTTTCCTTCAGGCAAAGTTTGCAGGTTTTGATTAATTGTTGTAAGGCTGATGATGGACTTTTCCTTATTTTTCAAGATATTTTTGGTGTGATTTATATTTTATTTTTAATTTCCCAGATTATTTTAAAAAGCATTTGTGCTGTTTGCATATTTACTATTTTGAAATATTTTTTGTGTGCATAGTTTCTTTTGATTTAGGGTTCTTCAGTTACTCCTATGTATATTTTTTTTTTCATTATTTTCCAAAAATGGACTACGCCAACAATGCACCACTGACCCATATATTAAATAGTTGTGAAAAACCCAAAAAAAAACGGCCTGATGATAAAATTTTAGCATAAAACAGTCTGTTGCCTCTGAGTGTTGATTTCAATGTTTTTTTTATATTTACATAGGCTCTATCTCTGATATTAAGCACTTTATTCCATAAATATAATTATACCTAAAAACTATATTTTTTTATTTTTTTTATATATATATATATATATATAGTAATAAATCTGTGGGGTATAGGTTCTAGCAATATGATGAATAATCCAAAAAATCTTTTTACCTCATGTGGAGAATAGACTATTTCAGCAGATGATGAAAGTAGTTGTTTGTCTTTTCAATCCCAATGTGGAATATCTATTTATCTATGTATATAATTTATTGCTTAAACATTATTTTTAATGTATACATATATTTGAGTAGATACTGTTTATTTATTTCCATTATCTGGCCTGAATATTCAGGGCATTACAAAAATGTGTTTTCTAATGTGATTTTACAAATATCCAGAGGCATGCACACACCTTAGTAAAATTCCTTTTAATTAAACATCTTCCTAATAATTTTATTATTATATAAACATTAAAATCAAAATTACTTATTGATGATATTAACATAATAATGTTTTTATATCATTTTCTAAAAAATTAACCACTCAGCATTAACATTTCAATTGGAATGAAACAAAAAAAAAAGTGTATTTCTAGAAAAACTCATGGTAATAAAAATAAGAAACAAAGGTTATATATTCTTTAGCCAAAGACTAAAGATCTTTTATTGAATAAAGAATTGAGCCATTTTTTTTATTAATGTATACCAAAAACAAATACAAGAAAAAAGTGGCTGAGATTTTAACTGTAAAGCCAACATAATTTCTTCTTTTTTTTTAATTTATTCACATTTTTTTTTTCTTAACTGAATGAATTCACCAGGCAGTTGGAGCAAAGGATCTTTTTTTTTTTTTTTCTTCAATTAAAAAAAAAGAAAGAAAACAAAAATCCAGATATTATTTCTATTAAGGGTATGTAGCATATTTCTAGTGTTATAAATGTAAGACTGGATCAGTAATTTCTTTTTTTTTTTTCTTTGGTTATAAAATTTATTTTTACAATATTTAAAAAAAATGTCCTTCAGTTAGAAAATTCATTTTTGTATATTTGAAATAAATTTTCTAAATGAAGAACATTAATTTTTAAATATTAAAATAGTTGTTCCTAAACAATCTTTTTATTTAGCCATTTTTTTTCTTTGACTTTTGGCATGAATTCTGTTCCTTAAACAATGTTTTTTTTATAAAATTCCATTAAAAAAAATTCTGTTTGTTAAATGTTTTTTTTTTTAAAAAAAAAAAAATTTACTTTAAAATGTTTTCTTCCTTTTAAAAAATGGGTGAATAATAATTCTTTTTAATCAAAAAGTATTTTTAAATTCCTTTACAAATTAGTGTTTAAGCAAATTATCTTCACAAAGAAAATTCTTATCTGACAACAAAATCTTTCATTCATAAAAGTAATTAGAATTTTTCAAAACATAAATAAGTTTCATAAAATTTTCATAATTTAGAAAATAAACCATTTTTTTTTTTTTTTTTTTCAATAAAAAATATTTTTTAAAATTATTTAAATACCTAATTAAAAAAAATTTAATTCAAAGACTTAATTAAAACAGTAATTTGCAAAACTTTTCATGAAAAATTTTTACATTATGAAAATTAAAAAATTTAAATTAAAATAATTTTAATAAAAATTCCAGAAAAGTTTTATTTTTTTTAAATAAAAAATTATAAAAAAAAAAAAAAACACACTGAAAAATATTTCAGTACAAAACTTCAAATTAAAAAAAAAAAAAATTTTTTTTTTTTTTTTTTTTCAGATTTGGTTTTTGAATTATTGACAGGTTTATATTTTATTTATCATTTTTTTTTTTTTTTTAACCTGAATTTTTTTTCTTCATTTAAATACTTGATTTTAAACCTTTTTTTTTTTTTTACTGACCACAATAGTCTTTGTTGAAATAACTGGTTTCAGTATTTCAGACAGATGTTCAGAAAATTTCTGTAACTAAAAGAGGTTACAACTTCCAATGTTTCTTCTTCATTTTGATGACTTGCTACATTTTAAATCCTTTTAATATTTTCTTTCCCAAATTTACAATTTAAAAAAAAAAAAGCAAACTCAAGCTTCCAGGAAAATCACTTAAAATGCCTATTATGACTTTTTACTTCTGTTCTCTTAATATCAAGAAAAGGAACATTTAATTTTTTCCTTTTATTTTTTTAAAGCCAGCCAGACATTAAAAAAAAAATTAATTTAAACGTTTTAAGATACATTTTGAAGAGTAATTTGTTTCTTAAAAAAAACAAAACAAAAAACCCTCAAATATTTGAAAGGAACTTTCAGACTGCTTTTATTGGTTTTTGATTAACTGTTGAATTGTCGTGGTTTATTCTTTCGTCTTTTCCTAACTCAGCATTTTCTTCCTGTGATGCCAGTGGGTTCCGACTGATGACCAGATCCAAATTATTACCAGCTTCTGAGATCAATGGTACAGCCATACGACAGTCAAAGTCCCGGGTCTTCACACTATTCACCTGGTAAGTAGAAAAAAAACAAAACATAAAAACATAATTGTTATGTAGGAAGAAAATGAGTAAACACTGAGGTCCGAGCAAGACACTCTGAACTTATGAATATATGTTTTCCACCAGGTGTATAAATAGCAAACTCAGGATACTGACTGCAGTTATTATTGAGTGGAACTTGGGTATCTTGAGACAGTGTAATTGGTAGTAAGCTTGTCTCGTTAGAACAATTATGACTGAGTAGTGAGTTCCCCATACTTTCAGCCTTGTGCCACATGTAAGCTACGCTTGGAAAATCACTATTGAGTAGAACTATCCAGGAGAATTAGTGTGAATTTGTGGAGAATAAAAAGCAAACAGCGAGTAAATTCAAGCTCTCCCAACTGGTATTCCAACCTCGAGTCGTTCCTTCTTGAGTTCTGTCTCAAAATCGCACTAACAGACTTTTCTAGCTGCCAACCATGAATGTCACTCCAAGCACTCTGCACTGGGAAAAATTAGTTGCTTTTATATTTGTCCATATACCCATAATCCCTTGCGTCTTCATGCGATCCCATAATTCATTGTGTCCATGTCCCATAATGCATTGCATCTTTATTGCATAAAATGCAAAAAATAAAATTCATTTTTTACGTTATCTGGCCGAGGACGGATTACGGCATGAGCGGTAAGTGCTTTTTTTTCTCCCTCGTTTCAACTGCTAAGCAAATATGGGCTCTTTTTTTGCAAGTCGCAACCAGTTGTGCTCATCCCAGGTTCTGTCTCATCACCTCTGCCAGAGAATTATTGTGCGTCGATGATTTGGGTTTTGCTTTAGGATTTACTAGATGTTAAGCCAAGCCGTGCTACAAACAAGGTATTCACTGAAATGGTTAATTATCTTTGATTGACTTTTACTTCTTTGTTCTTGTTAAGTATTTATCTGTGGTTGTAATTAAATAGTGTTTTATCTTAACATTGAAACCATGAGTTATATTTAATGGCCACCGTACATCACAAAAATAAGACATTGCTTATTGCACAATTTAAATTGACTGGTTCTATGGCAAAAAGTAAAAAAATATAAAAGAGGGGGAAATTTTGAAAATATAAAAGAGGGGGAAATTTTGAGAGTAGGTTAAAATTTCAGGGGAGTAGGAGAAATAATTTTTGAAGATTATCATTCATTAAAACTTCCTCAAGCCACATTTTTTTTTTTTTTTAACCAGTCCAGTATATAATCTTCATAAAGTACAAAATAATCCCTGACATTTTACTGAGTTATCTGAACTTAGTTGTTATTTATAAATGTCAAGTTTGAAACTCTGCTTATATCATCGATATCTGATTTGTTTTTGTTTTTTTTCTAGATTTATTTTTTGAAAAACTCTGGGGTGGGGGGTGCTGTTTCAGAAGCACCTGCACAAAAATTGGGGGATAATAATTATTTACTAGTTTTAACCTGTGAAAATGCCATGGTTTTTCTATTTTAATATTCCAATGAATCTTAATTCTTAAGTTAATGAAGCTCATGTCAAGTTCTATGACAATAAAATATCTATAGAATATCACATCATTAAATATTTGAGCTTAAGAATTTTAACAAAATATTGCAATAATAATCATAAATATGAATGCTGGTCATTAAACACTTAGCACTCTGCATCATTTATAAATATTACTTCTCCCTTTTACTGTATATGGAATCCCCTCAAAATAAGGTTTTTTTTATATATTACTTCTATATATTTGAAATTGCAGTAGCCTGCCTCTCAATTTTCAGTCAAGATTGTTTTAGGTGTTGCCATAGAAGGATATGACTACACAACCAACTTGCATTGGCAGGACTAGTCACTTATAGGTTAAAGGTGCTAAAGGTTTAAAGAATTAATTTGAAATTGACAACTTTTCATTTCACTAAAGCAGCCATCAAACACTTTTATCTTCCTTTCATTTTCTTAGTGAAACCAAGTAGTATCTTTTTCTCCTCTTTCCATGTGATCATAATGAAATAGTCCATTATTTATGAGGTATTGGCAGGACATAAGGGTCGTGCAAACTAATGAAAGGAAGAACAAGCACAATTATAATAGGATGATGTTAAATGAAAAATAAATTTAAATTATGTACATTTTTATTCTTTAATTTTATATATATATATATATATAAAAATTTTTTTTTCTTTCTCTAACAAAAAAAAAAAGTCTGCTGCTCTGCATATGAAAACAAAGTTCATATAACTCTGTAAAAAGTCAAGGATTGATTTGATATTATGTAATGGTTCGCCCTTTTAAACTGATAAAAATCAATATTGTAGAATAATTAGAAGAAATAGCCAACAATCAGAATTGATAATGTTTACAATAAACAATAACAAAAAGATGAAAAAAAACTGTGGGAAAAATAATATAAAGTAAAATATATATATGCAAAACAACAGTAATAAGATAAAAAAATTTGTAGTGAGTCACGATAAAAATAAAATACATAAACAAAAACTAAAAAGAATTCAGATTAAAATAAGGCATTTACACTTTCCTTTAAAACCCTTATCTCTTTTTTTTCTATTTCTCTAAACCTCTCTTTCTATACTTCTCTCAACTAACGAGAAAGCATCCTGTAATCCCATGTGTCTTAGTGGCTTTACTTCCTTGCATGGGGTGATACCGATTTTTAAAAAATAAGCTATATACAGTGTTTTTAATGCCGATGATTAAGACGAACATTCCAGCTGATGCCATGAAAGATCTCTGCTAAAAAAACTCATTAATTTACCATCAGTTCTGCATATTCCTTTACGAAGAATTGTTGACATATTAACCTATAAAAAAGGTGATAAATCGATAGCTAACCTTTTCTATTAAAGAAAGACGTAGAAATACTAACATTTGACTATTTCTTTTTTGCCTGTTTATTACTATGTCGAAGTGGCTCACAATTAGTTTAGTGGATATTCTGGAAACTTTAAATGAATGATGTGGTCACCATGTTTACTGTCTATGAGAGATCTTTCTTTTTCTCTATACTTCTCTCAAGAAGACAACCCTCAAATAAAAAGAAGAAAAGACTAAACCTGGCCCAAAACACCGGAAGTTTGCAGCAGCAGAACCTACTTATTTGTGACTAAAAAATACCAAAAGTCAGAGAGGCTCCACACATAACTTCCATTATAAAAAAAATGAAAAAGAAAGGAACACCTGAAAATGAAATAATTTGGCCAATCAAAAGAAATTGATGCAAAGAGACTTTTGAGTTAGCTGAAACTATGTTCACGCCACAAACTCTGAGCCTATTCAAAAGGCTATAAAAACCTGACACCCCTGAGATAAAAGACAGAGGTGACCAAAACGATACCAGGAGAGTACAGAGCAAAAGAACACAGCCATGAGGGATGTGTGAAAGATCATTGGCTACTGACATTTCCACCCTGTTGCTGGACTGAAAAGAACACAGTAGATTGACACTGACCTAATTTCTCACATTACTACTAATCCTATCATGGTCTTACTTCTAAATGGCCACTCATGGACATTTCTCCAGACTGCTACCCACATTTGCCTAATTAACAAACTTTTCGCTATGCCAAATACCAAAGGACTCACTCTAAAAATAAATAAATAAATAAAAATATATTATTTTATGGCCAAGGTTTCTGATAAAATAATTATCCTACACTGGCAATGTTCATAAAGTGAAACCATATGCCACAAGTTTCACAAATTAATAATAGTGTTTACAGACAAGTGATCAATTCATTCTGACTTCAAGAAAGAAACAAATAGGCCACTTCCTGGTCTCATCTGCCATATCTTATTGGCTAGGAAGAAATCTCAGCATGCATCTGTATGATTTGTCTATAAATTTGGGGAGAGGGGATGTTTTTGCAGTCATTCCCACTACAGATTGCAACAAATATTTTTCAATTCTAACAAATGTCTAATCTAGATGGTTTAATGAATGCTAATGTACAAAAAATTATTTCCCTAATATTTTAATGATTGGACCAGTCTATTTAAGTAATGCTGTATTAACATTAACAAGCCTAAGAATATTGGAAGGAAGAATTTTATTATAATTTTTACGTATAGGTCTCTTTACTGAATTCCATAGATAAACACGACAATTACTAAGAACTTTACCAAATAATAGAAACCACATCTGTGCCTTTTCTATAAATACTTTCATGATAATTGTTTGGATAAGCTTTTCGCTATGGTACCATAGTTTGTTTGCTTAAGACTCGGTAAGTGCCAGGCGTGATTTTGTAGCATTACCGAATCGAACAGACATTTAATTATTTTGTGTTCAAAGAACTGTCATTTTATGTTAAGTTTAACTTTCATTTTTCTTATGATTTTTTTCCTGATGTTTATTTGTGAAAGTTTTCCAAATTTACCATTTCTGACAACATCTTGTCAGGTAGTTTTAGCAGGTGATTGTAATGCCTTCCTTGACCTCTGACATAGTACCCAATCCTGTCCCCATGTGATCTAACAACTGGGATCTGAAACCATTTCAGGAGCTTATCAACAAGTTTGATCTTGTCAATAAGTACCATAATGAACACCCTCAGGAGAGAGTGTGATAGAGGTGGTTTGGCTACAGCAGTGTGTCCTAGTTATCTTGAGCCGATGTAGGGGCTCTTAGGATGTCCAAATTTTCATTATATAGTTTACTCGAATCATAGGCTAGTCTGGGTTCATGTAAACTTTTCCATTTAACTTTAATTTTACGTATTGGGGTGAATGAAGAAAACAGTAACCAGTGAGTAAATTCAAGCTCTCCCAGCTGGTATTTCAACCTTGAGTCATTCCTTCTTGAGTTCTGTCTCCAAATCACACTAACTGCTCGTTCTTCTAGATGCCAACCGTGAACGTCCCTTGAAGAACTCCCGACTCTGAAAAAGTAGTTGTTTTTATAGTTGTTCATGTACCCATAATCCCTTGTGTCTTCATGTGATCCCATAATTCATTGCGTCCATGTCCCATAATGCATTGCATGTTTATTGCATAAAAATGCGATGCCAGTCCCCCATTCATTTTTTACGTTATCTGGCCGAGGATGGATGACGGCAGAGCGGTAAGTGCTTTTTATTCTCTCCCTCGTTTCAACTGCTAAGCAAATACGGGCTCTTTTTTGGCGGGGACAAGGCAAGTCGTGACCAGTTGTGCTCGTCCCAGGTTCTGTCTCATGTCCGCCACAGTATGTATTTTTTTTTTTTTATAATAATTAAATGTCTGTTCCATTCGGTAATGCTACAAAATCACGCCTGGCACTTACTAAGTCTTAAGCAAACAAACTATGGTACCATAGAAAAAAGCTTATCCAAACAATTACCATGAAAGTATTTATAGAAAAGGCACAGATGTGGTTTCTATTATTTGGTAAAGTAATAAACATTTCCAGTAGCCTCAGCTGGCTACTGGAAATCAAACGCATCATTATTTGGTTGAACAAGATTTTTGGGACCAGCTGCTACTAATGCTATAGCAGGAATTGATGAGGGCTGTGTTTGGGAATATGTGGTGGGACAAATTAAAATCCAAAATTAGGTAGTTTGCAACTGAGTATAGTCATTGTCTCAATCTAGATAGGTTAGTGGTGCAAATGGCATGTGAGGATTGGTGATTAAATCCTGTGATAGTGGGGATGTAGCCTTAGTTCGGGTAGAGTTGGCCTCCTTGCTTATCAAGAAGGATCAAGCTGTGGTAGTTAGGGCTCGGTTAGAAAGAATGTCTTGTGTGCACAAGAAGTTAGGAATGCATCTCATTAACATGTTGTGCGTCACATTGCTAGATAATCAGACGTGACTACAAACGCAGGCATATGTGAGGCTTTTCGTGACTGCTTTCAGGATCTGTTTACCATACTGCTCAGTTCAATGCCTATTTTGCTGACTTTCCCTGCCTTGAGGTAGCTGTGTGCGTGGGTCCCATCACAGAATTGGAAATCTGGGAAGCGATGAAACTGGTTGGCTGTGACAAATCTATGGGATTATATGGTCTACCCTATAAAGTGCCTGTCTTTGTACCTTTGCTGGCACTGATTTTACAACTGGATGAAGCAAGGGGTCTATACCTCAACACTTCACCAGGAGTGTGATCAAGTTGCTATGCAAGGACAAGAACAGTGGGAATGGGATAGGTAATTTTCGGCCTTTAATGATAACACAGAGTTAAAGATTTTAGCCAAGATCTTAGTGAGCCATTTGCTGGCTGTCCTTTCTAGTCTGATTGATCTCAGACTTCTGCTGTGAAGGGCAGGACTACCATCATATGGTACACTTGAACATCAAGCAAGTCAGCGGTGAAGCCATGCTGACCAATTTGTTCCAAGGCATCCAATAGGGGTTGACCATCAATTTCTGGAGTATGTCCTTTTGGTGGCCAGTTTCAGGCTGTATTTTTGTCCCTGGGTGTGACTTTTGTATGTCTCCCAGTGCACTGGTGGAAGTGAATGGGGTTCAATCAGAGCCTTTCGTAATGTCTTGCTCCATTTGTCATGATTGTCTGCTTTCACCTTTGCTGTACGTTCGAGATTGATGAATTCAGCAAAGAAATCAGAAGGTATGAGATGGTGACAGGGGCCAAGATCAACCGCAATAAGACTGTTGGTTTGTGGCTGGGTGTGTCGAAGGGAGTTTCTCTTATCGAACCTCTCCTCTGGATAGACAGGCCAGTCAAGATACTCTAGTTCAGTCCTGATCTCTTGCTGGAAATGAATTAGTCAGAAGTGAGAGAAAAGGCCAAGGTCTCAGTTGGTCTGTGGTCTTGGAGTAATCTTTCTTTAAAGGGAAGGGCGGAAGTATGTGTCTCGCACATCTACCCGATTCTCCTTTACCGACTCTTTAGACTTTCATTTCTGTCTGCTATGCTAATTCCATTAGTAAGGCTCTTGTTCTCTTTCTTGTGGGGAGGCAAAGTACATTGGGAGATCTGTTACCTCCACCCTTCTGAAGGTAGTCTGGGTATGCCTAGCGTTGAGACTAGTCAACATACGCTTGGAAGTATGTTCCTAAATTGAATATGTCAGCAATTAGATGAAGAGGGTGAATTCTGGAAAGAAGATGCCACTTGTGCACGGAGGAGCCCCCCCCCACTTACCCTGAGGTGAGTGATCTTTCTATCATGAATGTCGAATTGCTCTAAAACAACTCTTACAGGTGACAGATGGCCTCTCTAACATCCTGGTATTGTCCTGAAGGGCATTATATTACGTGTTAGCTAGGAGAGGTCCATACAAGATGATCTGATAGGCAAGCTCAGTCTTACAAAGCAGGATTCTCGCTCAATATGACCTTGGTTGGACCATAATGAGGCATTACTCACCTGGCTGGTGAAGTGTAAGGCCCTTTTGGTTGGCAAAAGACTTTGTTCGGCAGGCTTGGAAAAATTTCCAAACAGTGTTTGCTGTAATGGAGAAGTGGAAACCCTGGATCACAGCATCTTTTATTGCAGGGTTGTAGTCCAGTTGGACAAGTTTATTGAAGGTATCATGGTTCATATGCTGCATGGAAAGTTTTTCATCCTTAAGGCCAGTTCTGTCTGTAGTAATGTGGTACCGCCATTGATGAAGGCTGAACGCTATGTGTTATTTTGCTTGCTAAGAGTTACAAGAGTTGTTATTTGGAGGACATGTCAGAAGGAATTCTATGGGGACGAGAAGTTCACCTCTTTTCAACTGATCTTGTTCTTTAAGCATCAGCTTAAAGTCAAGATCAGGACACAAAGGCAGTGGCTCCTTCCATCAGAATTTGGCAAAAGGTGAGTAAATCTTGCACATCTGTATTTAGTAAGAGAGGCCAATTTGAATTGACACTTTGATGCACTTGTGATGTCTCAGAGGCTTTGCTGCCTTCCTTGGGATAAACTCAAAAGAAAAATTGAAGACTTTCAACAACAGCATCCTTATTTAAAACTCGTAGACTGACACTACAGAATGAGAAAGAAAGAACTCTACCAAAAAACAGAAACTACATCCATTAAGGACTTCCAACAACAACAAAAATGGATATCACATGTAACTCAAAGAAAAGAAATCAAGATGTTGATATTCCACACTACTTCAAACAAAAGGTTAGGAAGGAAATCCCAATCAATACTGAAAAGAGAAATACTAGTAACTGAACCTGAGGAAACCATTTTCCTGAAAAATTGTTTTAATAGAAGGATTTTATAAATTTCAATGTTTTCATATAAGGAAACGGTTAATATTGCCATTAGAGATCAGAACAGATACTACACTTTGATCAGGGCTCAGTGACCAGGTAGTGAAGAAAAGCATTATCCATTGTACCACATGCATAATCTTGCTTAACTTCAGCAGAAGATGAATCAAGATCAGCACCAGAATTGCTTTTGAAATTTGTCCTTTACAAATAAAGAAACCAATGTGTTACTTTTTTGCTTCTGTAGAAAATAAAATCGAATATTGAACTTATCTAATACTGCTGCCATATCTGGTCTGAAGCTCCGGCTGTACATCTCAAGATTGTTAACAAAATCCAAAGAAGGATCTGTAATGTAATTGATCCTGATTAGGTATCATGACTTTCTCACCAATGTGATGTGGTTTCTTTATGTCTTTTCTACAAATATATTCATGGCTACTGCTCTGACAAGCAGTTTTCCCTGGTGCTCTGAATACATGAATTTAAGCATGCTACTAGATTGGCTTCTAGGTCCCACCCTTTCGCTGATGAAATAGCTAAATGCAACACACTTCCCACTACCTTCCATTTATTTGCTTCCCCGATAGCTACAATCTTGAGAAATTTAAACGCAGCATTAATCGACATATTCTATCTTCTTAAACACTCGTTCATCTTTTTATTCTTTCCTCAATCCTCCCTATTCTCAGTCTTTTTCTCTTTCACTCCCTGTAACCCCCTGCATACTAGTGAATGGTCATCTTCTGTCTTCTTCAATCCTGTTCATCTTTTGTCCTTTCCTCAATCCTCCCTATTTTCAGTCTTCTCTTTCACTCCCTGTAAACCCCCTGTGTACTAGTGGCATTCCCACCTTGCTTGGGGTGAAATGATTGAAATAATTAAAAAAAATACAAAAAGACTTACCTGTAGGATTCTGTCAAATGGTTGAAGACCGGACGTCTCTGCCAAACTGTCTGTACGTACAGCACTGATATAGACGCCTTTCTCGTACATTCCTTCTGATAGGCTAAAACCGAAATCATCTGTGGCACATTCTTTCTGCAATTTAAAACGGTGAAGCTGAATTGGCGTAGGTGAGAATATGGTCTGCACATGTTCCTCAAATGTTGTCGGTACAAGCTCCTTGCCAGAGGACTTGGTGCTATTCGCATTGTTGTTTTTAGAGAACCGATTGCTACCATGGCTGCTACTCGAGACAGCATCTTCCCCTTGGGCACAGTGGCAGTTGCTCTTCTTGTTACGTCGGCGTGCATCTCGTGAACGGATCCGATTTAGACTTGCAACGCTCCTTTGCCTAAGGCTGGCGCCAATCTGTCGCAGCATTTCTGACGTGTCGGTATTCTCAAGGTCATCACACGTTCTTGACCATTCATCCTCGCTGCTCCCATAGCTCCCATTGCTATTAGCATCCCAGTCGTCCTCGTCGTCTGTGTAGTTGCGATGGTTCTGGTGACCATCCGTACTGCATTCAGCATCCGAAAAGGAGTCAGAGTTGTGGTAGTCACGGAAATCAGCAGGCAAGGTGGCTGTGGAAAACAAACAAGAAAAAGTATGAAGGATCAATATGAACAAATGTTGGAATGATGTTTTCTCAAAAATATGGATTGCACAACTGAGAAATATATATATATATATATATATTGTATAGGGACAGCAGACCATTATTCAGACATGTATTTTTAAATATAACAGACAATGAATGTCTATTACGTTTTATCAGGAGCCGTTCCAAGCTTCGTATGTTGGCTTTAATTTCAGGAGAAAATGAAGACAAAAACTGTCCAACATTTGGATATTTCTTTATTATGCTGTTCATCAATCTAAGCTTTCGGCTCACATGAGCCATCATCAGAGTGGTTATTTGGACTGTATGACAGAGATATTCATCATCACATATGTAAACAAAACAGGATGTCATCAGTTTTTGTCTTTATTTTCTCCTGAAACTAAAGCCAACATACAAAGCTTGGAACGGCTCCTTATAAAACATAGACATTCATTACCTGTTATATTTAACAATACATGTCTGAATATATATATATATCTGAAAAGCAATGGGACTTATCTGTTCTTTGATGTGAGAGGCAATGTCTACAGTGAGTTCTTGCCACATGGCCAAACAATCAATCAATAAGTCAACAAAGAGATCCTGTAGCATTTGCTTTGCTCGGTGCGCAAGAAGAGACAAGACTTGTGTCAGGACAAATCGTGGCTGCTTCACCATGACAATGGACCTGCTCTCAATGCCCTGAGCATCCAGGAGTTCTTAACCAATACTCGAAAAACCTACCTATTCACCTGATCTTACTCCATGTGTCTTTTTTCTCTAATGGGTCTCCTTGATCATCCCAAGCTCAAGGGGATCAACAAGAGAACCAGCTTTGAAATTCTGGAGGCCATCAAGAGGGCAGTAATGACAGAGCTGAGGGACATCCAAGAAGAATGCTTCCAGTAGACACACACATACAGGTGTATGCATTTTAGTTCACACAAATACACCCATATAAACAATCTGAGATTAGGCGCAGATACACATCCATGCTTTCAAGCATACATACATAGGCAATTGTAATTCTATTTTGGTGTCGAGACTAGTGCTTTACTATATGTAGCGATGCTTCTTCAACAAGGGGCAGGTGTGGGGGGTTCTATTTAACTCTTTTCAGGTAGTCATGGCACTGGAATAGAATTTCAATGGCGTATGTATGTAAGCTTAAATGCATGGATGTGTATCTGCACCTATCTAGTCTGTTTTATGTTTGAACACAATCTTCAGGTCATGTGGTGGCTCAAGTATTTCTATACACTAGTCAATTGGTTATTATAAGTAGCAAAGCCAGGTATTTTCAATTTGTTGTACAGGGTGTGGCAGAAATACCTCCCACAAAATTTTCCACAAAATTTCTCAAACATCAGGCTGGTAAATGTAATTAATACTGTTTAGTATCTGTCTATATTTCTGAGATGAGGTATTATGTACACTATTTACATTATTTGAACTATTGTCCTCATCTTTTTTGCCATATTTATCACAACGTTTCGGCCATTGTACACTCTGGCCTTCTTCAGGTGGTTGGAATGTTGAACTGAATCCTTTATTTCACTCGCTGGGGTAGACTGTTCTTGTTCCATGTCTAATGTATGTCAGTTATCAGTTATCTCCTCAAGGACACATGGCACAGGGGATAAAGGCATTAGTTGGATCAAAAGAGTGTGAGTTCAATACCTGGATATGGCGGTGGAGAGGGGAATTAAGAGGAGATAACTGATAAATGACATCCATTAGACATTGCATGTGGAACTAGAAGAGTCTAAAAGTTTGAAATGAAATAAATTTTCCTTGACATTCCAACCATTCAAGAAGGCTGAAGCATACAATGGCTGAAATGTTGTGATAACTATGGCAACAAAGATAAGGACAATAGTCAAAATAATGTAAATAGTAATACTATTTAATTAAAAAAAACAGAGCATTTACTTAAATAAATTGTATGTATTAAAATAACATATAAACAAAAAATATATTAAATAATTATTGGACTTAATCAATTTCATATATATATATATATATATATAATCCAACATTATTTCTTATTACTATAAACATTATTTTTAGTCGATAATTGTTATTAATTTCACTACAAAAAGTATTTTGAATTTATTTTGTACATATAAACGGACTGACTTTTGTAAATACAGATGTCCAGAGTGGAATCTATAGTAAATTTAAAATTTATTGGTAACTTTGTAAGTAAGACTATAAAGTATAAAAGAAAATGAAAAAATTCAATAAAATATTAGAATGCTTAAAATACTTAAAATTTTTTGGTTCCTAATTAGTTCATATATATATATATATATATATATATATATATATATTTATATATATATAAAGGTGTTTACATTGTATTTGCCATCTGATTTTATTTCCATGATCTCCTCCAGATAAATTTTCCAAACATCCTGCTGCTGATAAATGAGTCAAGAGCTCATAAAAACACCCGTCTCTGTGTTAAAAATGGTTTTCTGCTATATTTTGAATTAAAGGTAATGTTAGATTAATTCAACTTTAAATCAGTTGATTTTTCTCAACACTTCAGAAAAGTACATTTTATTTTTGAAAGATTTCTTAATGAATAACATTTCTCCATCATCTGGGGTCTATACTGCAGCTATACTGAATGGATCTTAATTACAGTTTCTGGGAGAGAGCACTGGTGTCATCAAAAGATGAACAAGGCCAGTACATTAAAACTTAACAAATAATGACTTGTGACTATTTTAAAAAAAAACAACCATTGACAGGCAATTCTGTCAACTGTCACTCACAAGGCTTTGGTCACCGTGTGGTATGGTTTCATTAACCCAGCATGTGGCACCATAGGGATGTCCCTGAAAAGATGATACCCCAAATTTTATAGAAAAATGGAATTGATAGTCATGTTCAAACATTTTGTAAAGGATAAGAATTGAAACTGGGTAAACAGGTACTATATTATCTAGACGTTTAGTTTAAGTACCCTGTCACTATTAGTGTCATTTTCCTGTGAAGAAAAGAGACTATAGCCTTGCCCTGCTAGGTGTTACTGCTGTGGTTTTTCTAGTAAGTAGTGGAATTGTCAACCTCAGGCTTAACTGAATTTGAATTCAGAGTTGTCCTTCTCCTAGATTGGTTACCAACCAAGGCAAATATGGGGAGAAGTGATAGATTCATACTTTTTGTTTATACTTTGTAAGAATAAAAATTACCTCTTCAATGATGTTTGCCCAGTACAAGGCCCAAGAGAAACTGCTTAATTATTAATTATAGATTGTTGGCACAGTTTATGGGGATATTTGGGGAAAATAATGTTGTTGACCTTAGAGTTGAATTGATTTTGATTATAGTATCAAGGAAGCCTTTTCTTGGTAGTTGGTTCAAGAAATCAGTGGTTTGTGGGAAGAAGCTGGTAGAACGGAACTTATGTCTCGGCAATGGAATACAAAGGGAATCAGGATGGAAATAGATGGGCACTTTTTTGGCATGGTGGGTCTAGTGTGATTGTTAGAACTGGTGGAACTAAGGAATGCCCATGCCCTTAAAATTCAACGAACTTGGCTGGAATTTGATTTTGTCTCCTGATTTTTTTTTAAATTTGTTTTATTACTTCAATTCCTCTTTTTGGCCTATCATTATAAAAATGAGAAATATAAACTGTTCAAGTTATTAATTGTTGGTGCATTTGTTTTTAACCAAATGAAAGTCTTTTTTCAGAAAATAATTTGGAGGAGGGAGAGAAAAAGAAAAAAAAAAAAAAAAACTTACCTGATTTATCTCGGTTGTGATTATTTGTACCGATTTTGGTTTCTGCTACCACAATGGCCTGCGAGGTTGAATTTTGATTGTAGTTTTCTAAGCCTGAGCTTCCCCAAGACTCCAGAGCACTGTCAACACTTGGGATTGGTGTGGCTGGATTTCAATGAATAACCAGTTCCAAACTATCCAAATGCTACTTTTGAAAAATCAGAATAACATACAATTATTAAAAAAAAAAAAAAAAAATTTTGGTAAATTTTTACTATTACGTCCATATCTCTTTAGAGGTGGAAGAACGCCATCAGAGATTTGAAAAAAATTAACCAGCAAATTGAATATCTCCATTTGTGATGATTTGTGTATAGGAAGAAAATTATGTAAAATATTGAGATTGACTTAATCCTTGGCATTCTGCATTATTAATATTACTTTCCTTTCTCCTGCATTCTTTTGCAAGGCCACTCAGTTGCAGTAACCTAATTATTAATTTCCCTCAAAAGGTGTTTTCTGTTGTCATAGAAGGCTATTTTTTATTTCTTTATTTATTTTTTTTTAAGCATTTCACCCCAAGCAAGGCAGGAGTGCCACTAGCATGAATGGGTTACAAATATTAACCAAATTATGAAAATTGTTTGAGGCAAGATTAAATTAAATAAGCTTTCAAATAGGGTTGAATAGAAAGATGTCAATTGAAATTAAGTTGAAGATTTGAAGTATTATTTGGGGAAGAGTTAAATTTCATAACATGAAATACAAGTTTATTTTTTTAAATTAATTTTTTACTTTAAATTTTAATTGTCACATATTTTAAAATGGTTTGAGTTATTTTAATTGTGTAATATTTTTGTTTTGTTTTTTTAAAATTTCAGAGAAGCAAAGGGATCAGATGAAGGCATCAGAAGGGTTACATTAGATTGAATCAATATTAAAGATTAAACCAATGATGTGTTTATTCCAAAAAGGATAAAGAGAATCAACAGAGGTCAAGATCAAGGCATCAGGATGACAATTGACATTACATTTGAAATTTGAAGATTTAAAGAATGTTCCAGAAAATTATCAGAGAAGGAAATAGGTTTATTTTCATTAATTTTACTTCAATTTATTAATTACTCACATATTTTAAAATGGTTTATTATGAGTTATTTTACTAGTATACATAATTGTTTTTTAAGCATTTCACCCCAAGCAAGGTGGGAGTGCCACTAGCACACAAGGGGTTACAGAGAGTGAGAGCAAGAGAAAAGAGGGGTGTTTGAGAAAAGGATAAAGAGAGAAGGACTGGGATCAGGATCAAGGCATCAGAAGATGTCGATTGACATTACATTTGAATATTTGAAGATTATAGCTGTCATGAAACAAGTAGGGGGAAGGGAGTTCCACTGTCAGGAATTGCAAGAGAAGAAGCTGTTGGAGTAGAAGAGGCAGTTACATTTTGACAGTGAAGAGGGTGGGGCTAGGTGCCAACCTAGTAGCACACTTAAATTCATGCTGTTGGGGTATCAGTGAAAGTATCTTGTCAGAGCAGTTGCCATGAAAATATTTGTAGAAAAGATAGAGGGAAGCCACATCACGTCTGTGAGAAAGTGACTGTAGACAAGATGCCAGATCAGGACCTATCACATTGCATATCCGTCTCTGGATTTTGTCTAGGACCTCGAGATGAACAGCTGGGGAACCAGACCCTATATGGCAGCAGTATTCAATGCAAGGACGAACGGTAGATTTGTAGATTTGAAGGATGGACTCTCTGTCTTGAGAAAATACTTTCTGGCAATTTCTCCAGAGCTGCAATTTGCTGGTTAGATGACGTCTTTTGAGTTCAAGCGCCCTCAAACATTGGCATCCCAAGATCTCACCCTTTCACTGTCAAAACTACTAAATGGAGCCGTTTCTTTACTCCAATAGCTTCATGTTGGAGCACCTCTCGCCTGTGGATTCCCTGAGAAATTCCAATTTTCCGAGAGTTCAATCTCCAACTATTCAAATGTAATCTCAATCGACATCTCCAGTTGCCTTGATCTATCCACTATCCTTCTCATATTTTCCTCTATCACTCCTATCTGATCTTGCTCCAAATTTCAATCTGGTTTTTGTGTAAAAAAATTTGAAGGATGGACTCAAAAAAGGAAAAACCTTCTGGCGTGACACAGAGAACCAACTTTCCTTGCGGTAGATGTAGCTATTGATTCAATGTAGTTGTTCCACCTCAGGTCAGTGGAAAACGTGTGACCAAGAAGGTGCAGAGAGACGATGTCATGGAGTTGGGCATCAGCCATGCTGATAGGAGGCAGGGAGGGTTTTCTATGGTGGGTAAATGAGAGCAGTATATCTATGAAATTGAAACACTATTGTTCAGGGATCAGATTCATCTTCAGTGGCAGGATAAACTTTTTGTACAGCAAATAAAGTCACATACAGTTAAAGGTTAAAGAGCATAAAATAATATAAAATAAATAATATAAAATAAAATATAATATAAAATAATAGTTGGTATGAGACAGGTGTAAGAGTAAAATAATACCAAAATTTCTTTATCAAAGAGGAAATTGACAAAATTGAAACAGTTCAAGGCTTCTGTTTTAAGTTTATGATATTTTTAGATTATAAGATTTGTTTATGGTCTTGGAATTTTTCATGACTGAATTCATTCTATCTAAAAAAAAAATATGAAAATTAAAAACATTACAATCAAAGAAAGCCTATTATAATAATAATTCTTTTTTCAAATGTTATGTCCTTTCAGGATGTAAGCAATGATGGATCTTCCTTTCCTTTATTATCTGTAAATTGCCATGAATTCTTGGCAAAGACAGTGGAGTGATTTCCCATTGCCTCTTCCATGGTTTAAAATTCAAAAGAACTTTTGTACCTGATGATTGCAGAGGGCATGAAACTATGAGTCATACTGTGGGGTATTATGTATATTTATTGATATATACTTAATAGCTCTGTTATTTTGCATTAGTAAATTTTATTTTAAACCAAAGGATATATTAGAGTGTGCAATTATATATTTTTATAATAAAAGAAACAATTTATAGAAAGAATTAAATAGCAATGTTAATGTGATTAAAATAAAATCATTTTTGCTAACAAGACTTAATGAGACCATTTTAACTTACTATCAATTCCTTGAATAATCTATCCTTATATTTAAGTTATTGTTAGATAATGGAATATACATGCCAAGTACTTTCGATGATTTCAAATTGTCATCTTCAGGGTGCAATTTTTCCATACACAGACAAACACTAAAATGAAATATGTGTAACTGAAAGATGTTTTTTTTTTAATTATGCTATTTATTGACAGTTGAATATATGTTTTGGAGTATGTTAAAAAAACATATTTCGGTCTACACATATTTCACCTTAGTGTTTGCCTGTGTATGGGGAAAATTGCACCCTGAAGATGACAATTTGAAATTGTCAAAAGTACTTGGTATGTATCTTCCATCTGACAATAACTCAAATATAAGGATCTTATTATTCAAGGAATTAATAGTAAGTTAATGTCTCATTAATTCTTGTTAGCAAAGTGATTTCACCATTAATCCCATTAACATTGCTATTTAATTCTTTCTATAAATTGTTTCTTTATGATATATATATATATTTATATTTATTTATTTGATTATATATATATAATATGTTGAAATTTATTAAGTTTAAAATAATTTTTAAATTTTATTCACACATTTCTTCAAAAATTGGAAAATTATTTTAAACTTAATATTTTATGAAATCATTAATGTTTATGGATGAGAGCTTAAATAGAAAAATCAATATGTCCAAATTTATAGAGTGGTCTGTTGATGAATCAAATTTCCATGAAGTAAATTTAAAAACATTAATAATGTAAGCCTTAACTTTAAAACTTTTCAAAATAGCATCAATTCACATGTGCATCAGAACTCGTTTTTACCAATATTGGTTTAGTTATAAAAAGAAGACATTATTCGGAGACTATATTTTTTTAATTTCTGTCTGAATTTCTGGGATGTAGAGTTATCATTATTTACACTATTTACATTCTGACTATTGTCCTCATCTTTGTTGTTATTATCCACTGATCGCCTTCTGACTGAATTTCTGGGATGGGGAGTTATCATTATTTACTCTATTTATAGTCAGTGGTCAGGACATGTAGCAATGACGGAAGAGTCAAGGTTTTTACATCAAGTCTTATTCAGTGAGCTCACTCCAGGGAAAAATCTCTGGGGTTGCCCTTTTCAAGGATATAAAGAACAACACAAAACAACATTGGAAGCCACTGAGCTTGAAACACATGCACAAGACCACTGAACCATTTTGTGATATTCCATCACCATTGGAACCAAACACTTTGAAGCTGGCAGAAGAGAAAAGGAAGAAGTCAAATGACAACAGAGAAAGGCTTGACAAAATTGACCTCCGCCAACATTACTATGTTGTTGACTCTTCTATTGCAAGAATTGGTCTACTTAGTCATCAATGCCATCATCCTAAAAGAAGCGATCAGAAAAGAAGAAATTAAATTCTTAGATATGAAATAAAGCTGATGAAAATATTTGGACTATTGTCCTTATTTTTGTTGTTGTTGTTACCACAATGTTTCGACCTTCCTCAGGTGTATGTCAAATATATGTTTTAACCTCTATCCTTCTGGTATTAGCATAAACTGACACGATGATATACATAAGCAATAATTTTGGAAAGTAAAAATTTAATTGAAATAATTTGGAAACTTTATGAGTTTTCATCTGAAATAAAAAAAAACATGAACTTTAAGCAAAATAGAGAAAAGGAAGATGTTGGTTTAAAATTTTTTTTTTTCATATATCTAAATTAGAATTCTAAAATATAGTTTTAGAAAGAAAAAGTTTCATTGAAATGTGTTTGAAAATTTCCAAGTTTTATTCTGAAATCAAGAAAATCATGAACTTTAAACATTTAGCATTTGACACACTCAAACCTACCCCATAAATATCGGCTCTCAAGGTCTCATTGTTTGCAGCCAAAATCTCACTGTTTGTGTGACTGCATTATTTGTGATGATGTTATCATATATTATGACAGTATACGC